ATTCCCAATGACTTGATGTCATGTACCTTTAGCTAGATGTTTTCAGAATGGCTCTAAACTTAATGCATTCATTTCTCCTTGACAATACATTTAATCCTATTGTGTGAATTTTTGTCGATCAAGGGGCCAAACATTTATATGACCCTTCCATATCAACACCATCATTTATCATAATGCTTATTTAAAGACAAGGTTAACGTGTCCAATAATAACATGTTAATGAAACTTACAAATCTAACTCTCATTGCAATTTGTAATATTTTTAATTAAAGAATGACCCTGACAGCCCCTCACTCGTACAGCATTATGCACATAAAGCCACTAGAGGGCAGCCCCTCACCATACTATCATTATCATCAATACAATATAATCACCATACTGTGAGTAAGAATGATATGATGAGTACATGCACAGGGATGTTGTATTAGTGAGTCCAACAAAAGCAAACATCTCATTTAATCAGTTTCTCCAAAAGAAAAGTGGAGACTGATTTGCTGGTAAGAACATTTTAAAAGAAGCAGAGCACACAGATGTTAAAAGTACATTTACAGAATAAAACCTACAAGAGGAAACAAACGGTAAAAGAAACAATTTATTTATTTTTTACATTTGGCCTCCTCTGAAAGCCTTTCAGCTAATTTTATTTAAATACTGTAAATGACCATAGAAAGGCAGAGGGTCAATTAGAAATTATAATTAATAAAAAAAATCTGAAATGGCAAAGTTTTCAAAATCTACTCATCGTGTTGATTTTTCTTTCACTGGAAGAACTCTCCGAGGTTTGTTCTCACGATGGACTGCTCCAATCTTTCCTCTTCTCACCAGCGCGAGGGCTCTGGTTTTGATCTCCTTGGTTTTCAGAGAATACACAATGGGATTCACGCAGGGAGGAAGACAAGAGGAGAGTGACAGGCTCAGCACTCGCTGGTCTGTGTCGATGATTCGCAGATAAAACCCTATGATGAAAATGGTGATCAGAGGAATGTAAAACACAGCGACGAGGATCAGGTGCTCGACACAAGTGGCCAAAGCTTTAAGCCGACTGTCCAGTGATTTCATCCTAAACACTGTCACCAGGATGCTGAGATAAGACAGGAGGATAAAAGTGAAGGGTGCAACAAGGAGCAAGTAAGTGAGCAAGGAGGCCACAGACCAGTGCATGGTGTAGTCATTACAGGCGAGTCTGAACACAGGGGCATAGTCACAGAAGTAGCTGAGAACTCTGACAGAGTTGCAGAAAGACAGTCGAGTCATTATAGCGACTGAAAACAGAAGGAGTCCCAGAGCAACGCACCACGTCAGGCCCACAATACAAGTCATGTTCTGCAGAGTGTTGATGGAATTGTGACGCAGAGGGAAACATATTGCGATCAACCGGTCGTAGGCAAGTATAGCAAGAGCGAACGACTCCAGAGTCCCAAAAGCATAGTAGAAAAACATCTGAACCAAGCACGAGTTGAAGGGAATGAAATTGTCCTTCACCAGAAATATCTTTATCATGCTGGGAATCGTGCACGTGTTCAGGATCACGTCGATCACTGCCAGGTTGACCACAGCCAGAAACTTTGGCGTGTGCAAACAGTTGTTAAAGGCAATGATGTAGATCACCAAACTGTTGAAGAGAACCGTGACCACGTAGACAAACGCCAGGAAGACAAAGTAGACGCTGATGGAAGAATACATCTGAAATCCCACGATGTAGAAGCCCGGAGGATGAATGATGACAGAGTCGTTTAAAACAGTCCTGGGAAAAGACATAGTTGGGCTCACACAGCTTCTTCAGTCTGAGAAAGAGAGAAAATCACAATCATGGAATAAAGATGCATCACTGAAACATTATCATCGTCACTACGTCTCACCTGATTTTCAGGTTGACTTGAACTCTGTGTCACGCCGACTCCTGCAGCAGAAGTGTCAGCAGCTGTCGGACTCTTTGACGACAGAAAATATACTTTCCCTGTCAACCTCCAGGGATTTCTACGTCCAACTTATATCGAGGAAGTCAAAGACGTTTAATTTGATCCTCAGAGAGCAGCGCTGGAGCTCAGATTTAGATTTAAAACGATATGCACTCAAAACAAACATCTAATTGTGATTTGTGTCATAATGATGTGATGAGTTTGATCATCTCACCGTTCCTTCTCAAAGCTGTGATACTGCACATGCAACCAAATTAATATAAAATAAAATAGAATAAAACAGGGCAAAATTGGGAAATGATGTTTGTATGTGTGTATTCCGATTAAGTAAAGAACTGATAAACCGCTTTTAAAAGTGCTATACAAAATTATTCTTGCTATTAGTCTGATTCTTCAAATAATAATATTAATAACAATAATAGAAATTTGCTGGTTCTAGTCATTAGTTTGCCTGAAACACATAAACAGTTCTTTTTCTAAGTCAGAGCAAAGAAAACCGTCCGACCTGCTGAGGATGACCTCTGACCTGCTTCACAGTTTCTCTCTTGTGCTTGGTCACATTAAACTCGGAGAAGAAATGATGTCGCTTGTTTAGATATAAATAAATGTACTCTTCTAACAACTTCATGAGTTACTTTATAAAACTTTAAGAACTTTTTGAGAACTTTGTTTTCAAAGTGCAACAGACTCATCTATTGCATAATGTTCCCTGAGGATGAATTTATCATTAAACCAACGATTGTGAGCCAAAACAAAACGATTCTAATGAGACCAAGACGTGAAACCGTCACCAGAGAATCATTAACGACCTTGTCTGAAACAACTGAAGCTTTCTTTACTTAAACTTCACACTAATTAATCTCAGTTGCACCAATTAAGAATAACAATTAAAAACTTGAGGGGATCAAGTGGAAGTGTACAATGTTTTTATGGAGCTTTCATTATATGCAAAGTAAATTCATGGTCACCACTGACTTTTGCATTTATGCTAGAAAAGTAGATTTAAATGTACAGTTTTGATTTCATTCCGATTCTTATTTGCTTCTATAATTATTCACAGACTTGTGTTTCATGTTCATGGGGAAGAACTGTTCTGCTGTTGGCCTCGTAACTTTTTAGTGTAATTTAATAAATAACATTTCAGATTTTCTTCTCACACTCAGATCACTTTTTGGTTTAGTGTTCTTCGATGCGCTCCCTGTGCCTGTGCGGGTTTTCCTCAGTTACTCTGAATGCTGCCCACAGCCTAAACACAGTTGCAGGTTAATTGGGGACTCCTTGTCTGTAGGTGTGACACTAAAATTGAGTAAATACAACAGAATGGTTATATTCTTCTTTTCTTGAATTACATCTAACCCCTCATGTCTGACCGAGGGATCGACCGTGTTCAGTTTATCAGTAAAATGTCTCATCAGTTAAACTCAGCGTTAGTGAACAGCTGAAGTGGTTTGAAATGTGAGAAACCTGAAAAATTAACGACAGGATTTTATAATCAAATCACTTGTAGTCTTGCGTGAAATGACGGGAGTTTGCCAAAAACCATCTTTCGTGTGAGTGTATAAGTGTGTTTGTGTGAGAGGAGCAGAACCTGCAGGGTCATCTGAGGAGCTGCATCACTTTTTTATACATTGCATTTATATAGATTTTCTAGTCTTGATGATTCAAAGACCTTTACAGTACAACTGTTTTATTGTTTTGCCATTCACACACACATTCATACGTCAGATGGGAATCTGGGATCAAATGACAGACCTTCTGGTTAGAGGACGACCACTTTACCCCCTCAGCCACAGCCGCCCCTAAGTATAAACAGTATATGTGGTGCTATCACTCTGTGAAGCATTGACAAACAAAATGATTCTTTTGATAAAATTATGTTTTATTAACAGTTATATCACATCTGCCCAGTATTTATTCAGATATGTGGGAAAACGTTTATTTTAAGCTTCATGTTACATGACGGAGGTAAAATGAAACAGTTCAATTATATATGAATTAGATTCAAGGCCCAGAGTCATCAGTTGACAGCAAAAAGAATATGTATGCATTATTTCACGCTAAAGATGTCATAAGATTATAGTTTAGGCTTTGAAACAATTATCCTAAATTATTGCTGTGCTATGTTGACCCTCCAAAAATTGCTTTTTTGTTGCGTCTTGGTTTTATGTTTTCTAATAAGCGCCAGGGCTCTGACTTTTATCTCTTTAGTTTTTAATGAATATACAATAGGATTGACGCAGGGGGGGATGCAGGAGGCCAGTGATAGACTGAGCACACGCTGGTCCGGCTCAATGACCCTCAGATAAAACCCAATCATGAAAATGACCAGCAGAGGAATGTAAAATATAGCAACAAGGATGATATGTTCAACACACGTGGCCAAAGCTTTGAATCGACTTCCTAAAGATTTCATCCTGAACACTGTCACCAGGATGCTGATGTAAGACAGAAAAATAAACGTACAGGGTAGTCCGAGATTCACAAAAGAGAGAACAGAAGCTGCAGACCAATGCATTGTGTAGTCATTACAGGCGAGCCTGAACACAGGCGCATAGTCACAGAAGTAGCTGAACACMCTGACAGATCTGCAGAAAGACAGTCGGGTCATTATAATGGTTGCAAATGCCGTCACTCCCAAAGCAACGCACCACGTCAGGCCCACAATACAAGACATGCTCCGTAGTGTGTTGATCGAGTTTTGACGCAGAGGGAAACATATCGCGATCAACCGGTCGTAAGCAAGTACAGCAAGAGCGTACGAATCCAATGAGACACACGTGTAATACACATACATTTGTACAAAACATAGGTTGAATGGAATGAAGTTATCCTTCATGAGAAATATCTTTATCATGCTGGGAATCGTGCACGTGTTCAGGACTAAATCGATCACTGCCAGGTTGACCACAGCCAGAAACTTTGGAGTGTGTAAGCAACGATTAGAGGCAATTACATAGATCACCAAACTGTTGAAGAGAACCGTGACCACGTAGACTAAGGCCAGAAAGATGAAGTAGACGCTGACAGAGGGAATCTTCTGAAATCCAATGATGTAGAAGCCTGGAGGATGAACGATGACAGAGTCGTTTAAAACAGTCCTGGGAAAAGACATTTGAGCTCCAGAGGCTCCAGAGTGCTGGAGGTCGGCCTCTGTGTGAAGGCTCTTCAGTCTAAAGAACAAGGACATTAACATCTTATTCTACATTAGACCTCAATAAACACTTGGGTACATGCATAACCGTATTAGTGTTATATAGAATATATTCATAACATACATGCAAAAGTAGAAAAGTACAAATCTGACTATTCCATACCTGATGCTCTGTTAATGAAAGGATTGTTCTGCAGCAGCTCTGTCTGATGCTTCATCTTCACGCAGTCTGACCAGGGAACATTGGAAGATATAGTAAGTCCTCACTGATCTCCTGAGATAAAACTCTTATTATTGAGGTTACTTGTATCCATGGAGAGCAGGTGGTTGTTTGCTCCGACTCAGCTTCTCTGGTGCTCCAAATAAACATCCGATTATTGATGTAAAAAGTTAGTTTAAGTATCTCATGACGCCACTTTCAAAAACATACGAACTTATCAAAATAGAATCAGTGACAGATGAGTCAGGCTCACTAAACCGTCGTCTAAACCAGCGCTCTCATACTTTTTTAAGAAATAAAAATTGTTGTCCCAGCAAGTTAACAAACATATTGATTTTCTCTGGCATGTGTGACCAGCCTGGAAACCTACTGCTGTTTGGAATCACTGACTAATATTGTTCATGGTAACTTTGTATTATATTTTAATATATACAAATAAATATCAGATGTTACATTTTGATAGCATCACATTTTGTTGAGGAATATTTTAGAGGTTGTGTCTTGACAATATACTGGAAATTGAAACTGTGAATATTTGAGTTTTGAAAGATAATCTTGAGCTAAAAGAGACCCATATAAACCAACTAGACAATTTGTGGTGTTGGCTAAGTTGGCCTGGAAGAAGTTTGGGGAATTAGTGCATTTAATGAAAACTAGAGAATGTATTTAACTAGTTCAATAATTTAGGTTGTTTATTTGTAAACACAAAAATAATATTTATAACTGTTCTGACCAAGATGTGTAATGAGCGCAGAAAATAAAATGTTCTTCTTCCAACATGCACACACACTCAACACATCATATCTATCGTTCAGCTCCCCACAACACACCAAAAAATCTAACTCAGGATTTTATCAAGATGCTTATAATTTAGTTTCATATATTATTAAAGTAGGTGCAGTCTTTTGATTCAAAACATGTGAAGCAGGCCCTGCTGTGTGTGTGTGTGTGTGTGTGTGTGTGTGTGTGTGTGTGTGAGAGAGAGTGGTTTGGCGAGTTCAGCTGGCAGTAGACTCAGTGGACATTGGCTGCTGCTTCATCAGCTGTTTTTTCCGGGCGTTTTGGAAATCCATCATGCAGTCCTTGAAAGTCTGGACCTGGCTCTGGCACACTCTCCAGTCCTGGTGCTCAGCCATGCACTCCTGCACAGCGTAATGCAGCTCGGCACAACCAGTCTGAGATATCATCCGTTCAACGGGGTCGTCCTCGTCATCATTCCGGCTGCGGTCATGGGGTGAGGGGGACGTCATTCTGTGTTGTTTCAGGCCGCTGCTGAGGAAAACACACCATGTTACATATAAACTAGCGATGCAACAACCACAAAACAACTACACAACCATGTAGCCGCTCCTTCACGCAGTCGTTGCTGTTCTCGTAGCATTGGAATCTGTATTAGAAGAGGGTCTCTTGTGATTACACGGCCGAAACCCCTGATGACACTAAGGTACACTACTGGAGATATGTCCCTAACAGCCACTGGTTAGGTTAGATTACTTTATTTGTACCTGTTTGTTTTGCTGGTGGTCAACAACATCAGATGGAGGTAGTCATTAATTACTGAGGTAGAACCTAAAAGGGATATTCTCCATTTTGTCCTTCGTTCTAAAATGGGACAAACACTTGATGAAGCTAAGGTGAACACCTGAGGTCATGTCACTTACACTGTCCTTCAAACGTACATGGATATCCACCATCTCCTCCTCTAGTCTAAATAAATTGCAAACTACAACATTTGACAAAACTCAAGTAATTTCAGTTGGCAACGATACAGATAAATGTTCGTGTTGAAAACAGGTCTTCTACATGTGATGATCTGTTGAGTTGCTGTGGTTAAGAGTCAAACTGCAGCAGAGGCTCCTCGGACTTTACGCAACATTTTCGAGAATATAACTAACCACCGCAAATATTCACATCTCTCACCACAGTCCTGAGCTGCTGGTTCTGTCTGTGTGACGACGGGTCCGTCCACAAACCCACTTTAACTCAAAATAACCCGCACGACTCGGTTTCACACAGGGGGACACGTTAGAGCGGCGGACAACAGTGCACCCGGAAAATACCTCCGCGGACACGCAGACAAAAGTTCCGCTGTGTGGAGAGAACTACGGTGGCCGAGACGGCGCCTGTATTAATCCCATTGTCTACTCATTGAAAACAAAGGAGATCAAAACCAGAATCGTGGCATTGGTGTGGAGAGTGAAAATAAACCGGGGACAGTGTGAGACAGGAAACCGTCCTTTGTGTTATAATACTCAAATTGAATCTGTACACGTATAAACATTTTGAATTGCATTTCTATAAACTCAGGATTGATTGATGAATATAAACTTTTGTTTGCTAAAAGAAAATGTAAATGTTATTTTAACACGTTTCTTGAAATACAGTTTGTTATTATTATTACTTCTGTTGCTCAGAAATCAGAGCTTGTTGCAAACATATCTTTTGAAAACTCTATTGCATAATGTTCCCTGAAGATGCATTTATAATTAAACAGGTCACATAGTGAGTGAAGACTAAACACATCTAATGAGCTCAGTTTGTGTTGATATCGCTGGAGAGTTTTGGTTAAAGACCTTGTCTTTAATAAACAAACCTTTTACTGTATAAACTTCAGGCTAATTAATCTCAGTTGTACCCACTGGTGATAAAAACAAGTAGATTGAGTGTTTTTGTTTTTGAGAGGCTGCAATTTACTTGAAGTAACACCTATACTTTTTAAGAGTTTGAAGATGAAGGCAAATTTCCTCTGGTTACTC